TACAATAGGACAATCGCGCCAAGGAGGTTGGCCAGTGTCTTTGACAGGCTTGGTCCTAAAAGAAACAGACAGAACCGACCCCGCATTTTGCCCACTCAGGCCAGACTCCCTCCTATCTCCTTCAACCCTCCATCAATGCGAAATCAGCATAGACAACCTCGGTCGGGAGCCGCAGCTAGGCTCGACCATAGATACATGCATCCCTTGCATAGAAATAGGCATGAAAGACGAGCTGCACTAACTCGAATAAGGGCCAATCAAGATTAACAACACGAGGAGAAAAGGTATAAGCTCAGGGAGATGTCTACTTAAAGACCGGCCATTTGAGTTGAAGTCCTCTTACGAAAAGAGGCGCTAAGACATATAACTATCGGGCGGGGCCCATGACCCCAGAAAACATGAGACAACCTTCGCAGTAAATCAGTGAACCAAGGGCACAAGCCCTACAGAAAAATGATTTCCTATCTTTTCCATCCCATCCAAAAGATGTAGACGGACATAAGTCTTAAGAACTACCCCTATGAGTAAGACAAAAGGCCTCGCTAAAAAGATGAGCTCGCATTTTGGCCATCTCAGACTGGCTTCTCTTGCGAAAAGAGGCACTAATGCATATAATTACCGAAGCGGGCCCTATAACGTCAGCCAATAAAAACTGACCACACAACAACAGCGACGAAAAAGTGCGATCTACTGTCTCCTCTAATCAAAGCAGCTCAGGCATAAGTTTCATAGAATTATGTTACCTACGGAAGCTTTGGATCAAAAGGTGAAGGCCGACCTTCGTGTTAATAGGCTAAATACTTTAGCCCCATCCAAAAAGGAAAAAAGAGGAACATCAGAATAGGTCAAAGAGGGCATAGCCCTACCCTATCTCAAACTAAACCAAATACTTGTAAAAGAAGTCTGTTCAAAGAAGAAGTGAAGATGAAACTACCTTGATAAAACTGCCCACGTGTAGAAAATGATAAGGGAAGACCCCATAAGGGACCACCCCCAAAATACGTAGATCCTGTTTGACTAACTGAAAAGGAGGACTATGCACGAGTCGTCAGCTCATCTTCGCGAAATCGAAAGATATGCGGTTACAAGTGTTAAGACGTCGGCTTGGGCAACAAGATCGACCCTCTTGCCTTCGAGAAATATATATACACAACAAGCCAAAGAGCTTCGAAAAATAGGGACCTCTGTTCTCGTCATAAAATAATAACCTCGGGCAAAAGGGACCTCGGCTCCTTTCCTCGGAGATTCAACGAAACATTAGAAGTAGACAGCTTTGACACTTAACTTCAACTCCTTTATCAACAAAAACTTATGGGAAACGACACCATATAACTACTTCGTCTTTACAAAGATGCTACTGATATTGTTACTCCCTGTATTATGTTAACCATCAGAAAGCGCTATGTGGAATATCCACTGATGTCATTAGAAGGTCAACTCGAAACATATGACGAGACGAAGCAATAAGATTACAAATTGGATTCAGAAGTTGAAGTCATTGTTCTGACCGAGGTGTCATTTAACCAGATGGGTATTAAAGCCCTAACTAAGGATCTGTGTTCAAATCCTTATGTTCACAACCAGTTAAGGTTCTAAAAAATGAAGCCAAAGTCCTTGTTGTGGCCGAGGTGCAATTTAACCATTTGGGTACCGAAGCCCTAACGAAGGTTCTGTAACAAAGTCTGAAGAGGCGAAGAGTCTGCCACCTTTACTAACCTGACGAATATATTTGTGAAAGACTGATTATACGTCTATTTTATCTTATGTCAAGAATATCAGCCTAGAGGCATATGACAGTTGGCTTTCTATCAATATAATAAAATGATATATAAGAAGGATATGATATATAAAAGAATGGGGTAAGGGCACGTGGTTTGGAACCAACAATTACCACGTCTTCCCCAAACTCTATATATGATCTCTCCTTAAAAAGAGAGGGGGGAGGATAAAAACAACACGAATAGAGAAAAAAGAGATAACCTAGAAAGAAGAATAAGTGTTGGGTACATAAATTTTTGGCACGTTTTTTAAGAGGAAAATAAATACAACTTCATACGTCTTGTCATTTAATTGTGTTCCTATCTTGCTCCTTTTTATCATTTACTTGTAAAAGTTTAATAGTCTTTGGGTGAGATTATCACTATCCGTGAGAGCGTTTCAATCACTTTGAACTGCTTGAGTCTCACGTCGAATAAGCATCTCCACCGTCCGATGAGATCAATGATCCAAACAGCACCGAAATTTGTCCACTGAACGCGAGTGGACCCGGCAAACTGTTGACATCATTTTCGAATGTCAATAGATACCCAGGCAATCATTTGCAGCGGTGCAACGGCAACATGGCGGCCTATATGAGCATGGGAGAAGCCCACCGGCGAATCGCCGAGTACCTAAACGGCTTCTCAGGACGGAAAATCTCTCAGCCGCCTCCTCTCCATCTCCTCCTCCCTCCAATTTCTCGCTGACGCCCTCAACACCTTCCAGCTATTCATTCGATCTCAAGAAATTTCGGTAATTGAGTTTGATTATCGGGATTATGAAAAAGGGCTCATGTCTATACTCGTTAGTTAATTATTAGGTGTAAATCTTGATGCTTTGAAAACGAGAATCAAGTGCTGCTCAATGTATTTGTGTTAATATCGAACCTAGTTCGTTGGGATTTTCCCATTCGAGAAGACAACAGCGTTTCAGGAGCAATTTGTGAACCAACCATGGCAAATTCTGTTCTACATTATATAGCAAAAGAACCAAGCTTTCTGTTCTATTATTCTGTCTTGGCTATATGTTAGCTGTCAACTAGTGATTTTACTGGATAAAAGTTTACATCTTTTCCATAATATAATGCGGTTGTGATTTCCTACATCTATACATTTTTCCCTAGTATGTGATGGTATGGTATCTTCTTGTTAAAAAGTCTTTGGTTAATTTGTATGGGTTGATACAATTAGTTAAAGGTCCAGTTGGAAGGTATGAGTTGAAAGGTGGAAGTAATTAGAAAAGTCATGGCTTATATTGTTAAAATCTGGGATCTACTTTGAAATTGAGAATTTTGTCTGCAGACTGTAAATCTATCAAGAAGAAATAAAAGAAATGAAGGAGAAATGTGGGTACTAAACCCATGTTATTAGGCACCCATCCATACTACGAAATATGCATAATACATAAGTGAAAAGTGAGCGGCTGTGGCAGGTCTTTGAAGGGGTGGCTGTGTGTTGGGTGGACGGGGGGTGTTGTGGAAGGGATGGGCAGGAGATGGCTGGGTTGCAGGTAAGTAGGGTCTGTGAGGAAGTTGACCTTTGTGTTTTGGGTAATTCTTCTTTTTCCATATTTATGTTCTTTTACTTATTTAAAGATTATATAGTGTTTGGATATTAATATCCTTTCCATTTTCATCATGTGAGGCTCATATGACTAGTTAATTGAATTTTTGGACAGTTCGTGTCAATAGGAATCAGGGGAACTAAAATGAAAGGATCCAAGAAGTGAAGGTTTGGGACAAAACTGCGAAAGGTGATAAAGGTTGAGGACAAATGGTTGCAATTTCCCTTTTAAATATGATTGGGGCAGGACATGGATGCTAATTTCCATTGGCAGTTCCTTTCTGTGTTATTTGAATCCCCTTGTCCAAAGCCAATAAATTCGAGAGCCTGTTAGTTTACTTTAGTTTAAGGAAAGATTTTCTACATAACCTGGCCATCCCACGGTGCATAATTTTCTCACGTATTCTAAATCCAAATCAGAATATCTGATCACTTTAGCATTTGCAGCTGTTCTACATCTCAAATCTGCTCCTTCACATCTTGCTACATAATATCCGTAGACCACCTCTTTACCTTATTTATGTGGTCTCTTGTTGTTTCCAAGTGTTATGGTGGGGAACCCTAAATGCTGTTGGGTCAATAATTACTTGTATTACAGTGGGACATATAATCTCTTGACCTGAATGCTTCTTGTGGTTGGCTTTAGATTATTAAATAATTCAGGAAAGCAAAAGTTCAGGAAAATGCACATACATAAACACTCACTCTCATATTTACATCACGTATATACAATATAAAATATCCAATTTGTGTTTGAGAGAAATGCATAATGTATAGAAGAACACTTGCAAAATATAGTAAAACTATGAAATCAGACATAAACAAAATCAGCTAATTCTGACTTTCCCATAATATAAGCAAGTGGGCATCTAAGTGTTAGTTGGCTTCCCCGTGCCAGTGGCAATTATTGAAGAAAAGGAGAGAGGTATGACTAATAGGTTTTTTGTCGTAGTGCGTGTTTATTGAAATTTAGGATGTGCAGTGAGAGGAGGTGGAAAACAGGAAGAGAACTTACTGATTGTTCTGGAGTAAACTTCTATTTTCTTTACTATGCCACGATTATGCGGACCTTTGAAGTTTATTTCTTGTGGCAATATTCATTTTTGTCTTAAACCAAGTCAATGCTTCAGAGGGGCCTGTGTACCTTACCTGAGGTTTTTGTGTCCTTCACCTTTTATTCTGAACATTTGCACAAGTAGTAAGACAAAACTGGAATTGTATAACTAGTTTTGGAGCAAGTTTAAGCACTGTTAGAATGAAAAATGAATTGGTGTAATTTAGCCCCCGTTTTGCCCCCATTAAATATAATTTTATTTTTCTCTCTCTTTATTTCAACCACACTATCTTTTATAAAATATTATTACAGTAAATCGAAAACTTTTCTTCTTTTTCAACCACCAATTCTCCAAAAAATACTATTCTACAAATTAAAATCTGAAATAATGGTGAGGGCCAAACAGGGGCTTAATAAGCTGTTGTAGTTTTTTAGTATATGCTTTTTCATGTCATTGAGTGAAACTATTCGAGTCTTTTTCCCTGAGTCATATTACTCTTTGGTCCATTGGATAATTGATTGTATTTGGAAGCTGACTTGTACGTTTAAGAATTTCCAATCAAATTTCTATTCATTATTTTTCTGTCTTTGAGAACTACAAACACACATGTAATGTGTTTATTTCGATGGAGCTTATTGCTGTAATAATTTGATATTGTATTGCCAATTTTACTTATTACTCTTGTGAGGATGGTGACCTCTATTCATTCATATTCTTTTAATTTTCTTTCGAGCAATTTTGTCACTAAAGAAACTGACTTGTGAGGGATAAAAGGTATACTGTATGCACCATTAAATATGTATATCTTTTTTCACATACATGTGCGATAAGCTTGGCATTTACCTTTTCTGAATTATGGCTTTTCACTTTCCCTTAACTTTGGTATTCATATCAATAGGCTGCTAACAGAATTATTAGACAATTGGAGAGCTCTCAGTATGCAGACATTCTAGCTCCTGCATTCCGTGCTTCGCTGAGTTATCGGCTAAGAAATTTGGTCGAGTCTTACCTGGCCTTTGAAAAAGCTGCCAAGTATGTATCTTTAGATTGAATTTGCTGCAAATGTGAATTTTTCCCAAATAGTTTAAGCCTTAATGGTGGAGAATTACAGTGCTTTTATTCTGGAATTCCGAAATTGGGAATCAGCATGGGCTTTGGAAGCCTTATGCGTGATTGCATATGAAATTAGGATTCTAACCGAGCAGCTAAGAGTTATATTTTTCCCCCACTTTTTCCTTTTGAGTAAGTTTTGCAAGTGCATGTGTAATGCTGCACTGAAATGGGCATTAAATGGACTGATTTATGTTGTTGTAATTGAAGGCTGATAAAGAGCTGGCTTCAATAAGGAAAACCCCGGAGAAATTGAAAAGTGCTGGCTCTTTCCTCATGAAAGTGTTTGGTGTTCTTGCTGGAAAAGGACCAAGGCGCATTGGAGCTTTATATGTTACGTGCCAGCTGTTTAAGATTTATTTCAAGCTCGGGACAGTCCATTTATGTCGCAGTGTGATAAGAAGCATTGAAACAGCTAGGATTTTCGACTTTGAGGAGTTTCCTGTAAGGGATAAGGTCACCTACATGTATTATACTGGTCGTTTAGAGGTGTATAATGAGAACTTTCCGGCTGCTGACCATAAATTATCTTATGCATTAAGTTATTACAGTCCTCTGAAGGAAGCAAATATAAGGTTTGGTTAGGTTCTGCTTTTAATTTTTGCTTAATATTGTAGACATAAAAAAAGAAAAAGAAATTTCGTCATACAAATTTCTTTTGAAAACCTGAATCTAGATTAAAAGTTTGAGAAAATAATCATTTACGAGTGCTATTATTTGTTTAACCTACCACTGCTTTTTACATCTATATACTTATGGTCAAATGTACTTATGAGAAGTTGCTTATCTGGTAAAATAAGTTAAATACAGTAAAATTACCAATTTTTATTTATTTTAATTTTTTGACATAAGACTGTCGAGATGTTTTGATGATTTTGGAAAATAAAACTAAAGCAAGGGGGGGTTTTTTTTTTTTTATTTATTTATCAAATTTTATTTAAAAATAGTTTTATAGTATGAAAAGATGATAAAACTCAATATTCAGTTGTTTTCTTATTTACTCGTTGTTATTGTTTGAATAGGAATTTTATATTAGTATAATAATATATTAAATTTTTTTTTGTATTTTCTAAAATTTATTAATGCTTGAATTCAACTGTTGGATAATTTCCCAATGTTATTTCTGAACTTTAAACATCTAAAGTTATTTATGTTAATTAGTTACACCTAAGTGCCTCGACATTGCAGTGTAAATTGATTTTTGTTATTTAAGAGTGATTTTTTAGACTTCATCAGACAAGATATTATGGATGCAGCCGTAAAATCTCCCAACTGGGTTGAGGAGCTCCTCTCGTAAGGACCCAAGGAGTCAAAATGCGTGGATCGATTTGCAGTCAAATTCAATTCAAACCCATTAGAGCATTTTCAAAAGACTCTAATTATAAAGAGCATTTTATGTATAATAGAGAACATCTTTAAATTTAAAGAGTAATTTTTTTTTTATATACTCCAACAAGATCTCTATTTTGATTTTTTATTTTATTTTTTCCAAGGAACATTTAATAATTTCTTCACATATTTTATTTAAATATAATTTTTTTTATATATTAATGACCAATCAATTTAAATATAATTTGAAAAATTTAAATTATAGAGTATTGAAATTTGTAATGTATTAAATACAATCATTGTACTTTAAGAATAGAGAGTAAGCGACTCTCTAAATTTGAAGAGTCAAACATACTCTCTACTCTAAAAAGTTAAAAGGGTAATTAGCGCAAAACGTCACTACTTTTCAGTTTCATTGTGGAAAACGTCCACATCTTTCATTTTTTGACATTTTTGCCCTCAAATCAACATTTCGTTGCGATGAAGGTCCTTCCATCCAAGTTCCATCCATTTTGCCGTTAATTAAGAGAGAGAGAGAGCCATTTTTTGTCCAGTCAGCAGGGGTAAAACCGTCTCACCTATCAAAACCCCTCATTTTCTTCCTTCTTCACACTTCACAGCTCGAACGGTTCCCTTCGACTGTCTCTCGCTTCTTCAAGAATTTCCATTTATCTTCTATTTCAACAATTATTGCTCCATTCTCCTCTCGTATGGTCGCATACCAGCAGCCGGCATAGTGGAAGCTCGCATTGGGAGTTTGTCCAGCGAGCGACGTCAAGTAAGAATCATTACTTGTTAGTATTTTCATTTTCCATTTCGTATTGTAGTGCTTTGCATGATTAAGTGTACGTGTAGGGTTTTGATAGTGTTTGTTGTTGTTACGCATGCCTTCAAGGAACATGTTTCTTCCATATTTGAGAAACCCCGGCGACGAACGACCCAGATATGGTATGTAGTTCATCCCCTATTTTTTGTGTGAATTTCTCTTATTCCAGTGTGCATTCACAAAATTTTGGATTGGAATCCCCCAATTTATTTCTGTTTTCTGTCACTCGTATTTCCCTTTGGCATGCATTCGTATCTATTTTTGATTGATTTTTTTTTTTTTGATGTTGAGGTTGAGTTATGTCACTCTAATTATTTTCAGTGAGCTATAAAATTTTAGTGGAATGTTGTTAGTGTTGTATTTCCTGCTTTTCTGTTTTTGATGTATTACTGCCATAGAAAATATCCATGTTTCAGTGTTGAGGTTGAGTCTGTCAATGTCCACGTGGTTGTTAACATTATACGATTGAGTTATGTCATCTTGCATTGAGTTCTGTCAATGTCGTCCTTAATTTGTTGGTTGATTTTGATGTAAACTTTATACGATTGCTTACAGGTGGTAGGTCTGAATATTTTACTATTGAAGTGCATTATGGGGGCCAATTTTATGATAAGCCAAACAATGTGGTTTATGAAGGGGGATCCGTTCTTTTTGTCGACTTCTTTCATGCTAAATGGTGCAACAGAGAGAATTTGCGTAAATTCTTAGACGGGACTTGTGATGAAAGTGTGTTACAATTTTACTATAAGAAGCAAAAATTGAGCTTAGGGAAGGGGTTGATGAGACTAGAGAGTGAAGAGGATATTAACGAAATGCTTAGGAATAGGGATAGACGTCCAGATGTGAAAATATATGTTGTAGCCCAAAAGCAATTATATGCATTGCCGTGGAATCCTTCACATTTACAAGTTGACGAAGACCAACCATTTGAAGGTTGTTATATCCCTTCAGTTGTTGAAAACGAAGGAAATGAGCCTGAAGATAGTTGGTCAGATAAATATTTTGATGAAAATGCTGACGAGTTGTGGTCACAATACGAGCAAATCTTACAATACCAAAATGAGGGAGATACAAATGTAAGTGATTTGAATCCGGAGGAAGATCAAAATGAAAAAACAAGGGTGGAAGAAGAGGAAGTTGAAGGTTTGGTGGAATCCGATTATGAGATGGAGTCGGAGCTTGTAGATACTGCTGAAGTAGGGAGTGAAAGAGTTCATTTTGATTTCGGATTTGGTATGTCAAATGAGCAGCCTGTTAGAAATTCAGATACCGACTACGGGGACTCCGATAATTTACGAAGCATTCATAGTGAAGAGAAAGGCAATAGAGCTTCAAGAAGGAGGCTTCCAATGATGCTTTCAATGTGGGGACAGATATGGAGGATCCAGTGTTCAAAACAGGTAATTCGAACACTATTCTTTACTTCAAATTTAAACTTGCTTATGTACTTTAGTGTCATAAGGTCTGATATGCATTGAATTTTTTTGACTATGCAGGCTTGATATTTGAGTCGAAGGCCGTACTAAAGGCTACAATCACCTCACATTCAGTTACAAACAATAGAGAGATTAAGTTCAAAAAGGATGATGCTCATACATTGAGAGCCAAGTGTAAGGGAGATTGTCCGTGGGTGTTGTATGCTACAAAGGAGCATGGTGAGGCAAGTTGGGTGATCAAAACTTTTGTGGAGGAGCATACTTGTCCCATGGTATACAAGAACTTCAGGGTGACCTCATCCTATTTGGCAGATAGATATTTAGCTGATTAGAGGGCTGAGCAAAACATGTCAGTTACTGTATTTATGGAGAGGGTTAAGCGAGATGGTTTAGGTGATATCTCAGCCTGGCAGGCATATAGATCGAAGGAGAAGGCGCTCAAAAAAATTAGAGGGAGTGTGGTGGAACATTACAAATTACTGTGGGATTATTGTGGGGAGTTAAAGAGGACAAATATTGGGACCACTGCATTGGTTGAGGGCACGCTGGAGAATTTCGACGGTTGTATATTTGCATTGGGGCATTGAGAGATGGTTTTATTCGAGGTTGCAGAAGGGTGATTGGGGTAGATGGCTGCTTTTTGAAGACAGAGCTTGGTAGCCAATTGTTGATAGCAGTTGGTGTTGATGCGAATAATGGTATGTATCCGGTGGCATATGGAATTGTGGAGGTTGAAAATGGGGATAATTGGAAATGGTTTTTGGAGTTATTGAAGGATGATTTGCACATACATAGCAGTCAACATTGGATATTCATTTCAGATAAGCAAAAGGGATTGACAAATGGAATTGGGACATTGTTTGAGAATTCGAAGCATAGGACATGTGTCAGACATCTATACAACAATTTCAGCGTCTGTCACAAGGGTTTAGCATTGAAGAACTGTTTGTGGGATGCAGCCAGGGCCACTACTATATCACAGTGGCGTCAGCACATGCAACAGATGATGGACTTGGACCCGGACCCGGCTGCTTATGGATGGCTTGAAGAAAAACCAGCTTCCCATTGGAGTAAATCTCACTTTAGAGAGTGGAATCAGTGTGACATGCTTCTCAACAACTTATGTGAATCATTTAATAGCACAATTGTGGCTGCAAGAGAGAAGCCGATCTTAACCATGTTGGAGGATATCAGGGTATATTTGATGAGGAGAATTGTGGCCCGTAGAGAGTCTTGTGATAGATGGACAATAGCAGTTGGACCTAGAATTCAGAAGATTTTGGACAAAAATGGTAAACTTGCAAGGTTTGAGTGGGCTGAGTACGCAGGCAATGAAAAGTTCCAAGTTCGCCACAATGCCGGGATTGTGCTACATGCTATGGATTTAAGGGCACGAACTTGTACATGCCGTGGTTGGCAATTATCAGGAATTGCATGTAGCCATGTCATTGCCTCAGTTGTATCTAGAGGCCTGAACGTGTCGGAGTTCGTGGATGACATCTATAAGAAGGATGCATACATGAGAACATATACTCCATCAATTTCTCCCATCACAGGTCCGGACGCATGGCCTACCCCAGGTTTGAATCCTCTCACTCCACCGGTATACACAAAGAGGCCTGGGAGGCCAAAGAAAAATAGAAGAAAAGAGCTGAATGAGGTGGCTTCTTCAAGTCAGCCAAAGAGGTCCAGTCAGTCTAAGAGAAATGCCAATACTTCACAATCAACTTCAGGAACAACAGAAGGTCAACGAAAAAGATCGGGGCTAATAATGACATGTACGAAGTGCGGTGAAACAGGACACAATAGGAGAGGCTACAAAGGGGCACCACCTCCAGCACCTTGTTAGGATGAAGCTGTTTGGGGTCTGCCAAGTTCACTTATTAATTTTTTGGCTTTTGTTTTTGTTATTTAGTGCACAAATTGTCTGCATGTAGTGGATATAATATAGCACTTTGGGAACCTTTTTTGGTGTTTATGTACTGGGAGAATGTAGCAAGTTAAGGAATTATGTCTCTGTCACAGTGGATATTTTGCACAGTTGAAATGAATTGTATCTATTTTTGCTTCAGTTTTCAGTTATTTTTGCTTCAGCAGGTACTGGATATTTTTGTTTCAGTTTTCGGTTGATTGGTGGATGAATTGTGTCTCAGATTCTGTAATAAAATTGTGTATTTAGGGACTTTTGAGTTGGTGTGTATCAACGGGTGGTATATGTAAGAAAACAGGGAATTCTCTCGCCAAATTTTTTCTAAAAGTCAGGGATGTTATTCGCAAATATGTCTAAAAGGTAGGGACTGTACTCGCAAAAAATTTTATAGGTAGGGATGTTTTAAGCCAAAATTATAACTACGTAGAGATTATTAGCGCAAGGTTCATTCGATTCCGAACAGGACCCATTCATCTTCTCCAATGAGCCAAAATGGATCATTCACCATTGAACTGATACATACTTCACAGCACCCATTTTCACTCAATCTCCTCAATTTACCCCATGGTCACAATAAGCATAAACTAGAAATAAATATCAAGCAGTCATCTCTATAAATTCACCAACCATTCAATATATTTCTTACTAAATTTTTCCAGAAACCTAACATAGGACTTGTTTGGGAGTGATTTTTTCTCTCAAAAAATTAATTTTTTGACCGTTATTTCACAATTACAGCCGTCATATTTGACTTCTTCTCTCACACGTTGACCCCACTTTTCTCCTAACGGTCAAAAAATCAATTCTCAAAATCACTCCCAAACAAGCTCATAAAAGCAACAGTGATGGTTGAAATTAACCCGCGATCTGTTCTTTACTTAACGACATTTTTTTTCCTTATTTAATGTAATAATTTAAAGTATTTTCACACCCATTTTTCAACAATTGTTATATATATAGACTACGTAGAAGGCGGGAATAAGGGATTCAATGGGTGAGACGATTTACTCCTGCTGACTGGACAAAAAATGGCTCTCTCCCTTTAATTAACGGCAAAATGGATGGAACTTGGACGGAATGACCTTCATCGCAACGAAAGGTTGATTTGAGGGCAAAAATACCAAAAAATTAAAGGTGGAGACGTTTTTCACAATAAAACTGAAAGGTATGGACGTTTTGCGCCAATTACCCAAAGTTAAAATATAGAGTTTCTTGAAACTTATTTTTAAGTATTAATTCTCTAAATTTGAAGGCTACTTCAAATGAAAGAAATGAAAGGAAAGAAGGAATTACCACAGGTTGTCGAAGAACAATGTAAAACAGAGTTCTATTTGCCATTCTCAGACAACAGCAGTATATTTTCGTCACAAAACGTTCCATCATGCTCTTAACACCAAAAAATAAATATTTTCTGGACAACTTTATGCAAACTCAAAATCGTCTGACTTTACAACGGCAAGGGAAGAAGATACTCCAGAACAAAACTGGTGCAAAGTTAAAAACACATCAGCAGATGCAAATTCCCATGGCATGAACTGCTGAATCTTTTAACCTTCATTTGCAGGAAGAGCGGTTTCAATGTTTGAAGGCATTAGTACGTTGAAACCATCTGCGGCGGTGGATATGATCATTCCTGGTATCTGTGAATGCCAATGAAGTTCTTTCAAGTCCTTTTGACCCTGCAAACGAACAAGGGCAAGTTCAACATAAATGTACGGCTGAATACATAAACTCTCGTACAAACAAGTTTAAGAGTTCTCTCACCTGATGAACAAAGAGAAGTTGCGGAGGCAAATCTGATGGGGCGTTCACTTGCTCTTTTGTTTTGGCTTTGAATTCGCTCTCCTCTTCCTCATCCCTCTCTAGAGAAAGGTCCCATATTCTGAAAATGTGAATAAAGAAGCAGAAAATGAAATTTAAGTTAGAGATGGAACTAATAAAAACTGTCGTCTTAACATGGTAGTCATCTAGGTTTCTCACGTTAGTTGATTGTCTGCTGAAGATACTGCCAAGGTGGAGGCTTCATGTGGACTCCACTCAATGGATGTAATTGGATGTTTATGGTATTCAAAATGCGCCACTACAGCATCTCCTTCCTGAGCAGCAGAAACGGGGAAAAAATCAGAAAACAACAATTCCCATATTAATCTGACGTGAAAATATGCTGACTCCTATTATACTTCATTTTTTTTTTCTTTTTTGCACAGATTTTTTTAATTTTTCCACTCCAAGTCAGGTCTGAACTCCGGAAGCCCTTCTTTTGCATCCCCCCAACCCCAACCAGTGAAAAAGTTTTATCTTCCCGGGGAAACACGCAAAAGAAATGACCAAGATTATACTGATGGTATGAGGTCTCATCCCAATTCAATTTATAGAAATATTTAATCGGCTTTAATTAGAGACAACTAACTGTGATGACTAACTGTCATATTTCATGCAATACAAATCGCCATCAATCAAAAAATGAAAAATTCTATCTAAGTGTCCAATATTAGACCGAATACCTTAAGCAGTCTAAGATCTCGGATGGAAAATGTCCCATCATCACTACCAGACGCCAGCATGCAACTTGCGAGCCTAGTGAAAAAATAATGGCATAAGAATATATTCAGTAAAATGTTACTAGGACAGCATTGAGTAATAGATCATGTTTAAAAACCTGTTCCATGTTATCACATTTACATCTGCTTTATGTGCCTTGATTGAAGCTGCAGGAGACTTCCCCAAACGGCTATCCCAAATTGCAATATTTCCATCCACAGAGCACGAGGCAAACACAAAAGGTTCTGTAGGACTCCACTGCATTAAAAAAAATAATAATAAAAAAATTCATCATTTTGAGAGTCAGATGCCTAACAAAATCATCATTGTCCTGCAACATACCTGTAAATCTTCAACACTATCAGTATGTCCAACAAAAGGATTACTATCTATATTCCATGTTGAACCAGATGCTGGCTCCCATAAATGGATATTATTCTTGCAGTCCCCTATTAAATGAAAGCAAAATAAACAATAAGAAAATTTATAAAGTACTTCAAGAACTGCCAAAACATGATAGCATGTTATTAAAATCTATCTCGCAGTACCTGACACAAGCCTTCCAGCAACAAGAGGACTCCAGTCTATAGCATAGCCTTCATCCTTATGCCCGCCAAACTTAACCAGAGGAGGTTGATTCGACAAAGCAGATCCTCCACGGCTAACTTCAGTATCTGATTCTGCCAAAGCACTTAAATGCGAACTGAAGTCCCATACCTGCAAAGCATCAATTTGTATGAGGAAGAACTTCAAAATTCTGAGCATTTACAATGCCTTCAGAAGCAATGGGTAGGACCAATTGTTACTACAAGATCCAGTTTCATACAGCATCAGCATAAAAATAGAATTTCAGCTAACACGTGTGAAATAATTATGAGATCCAAATAACAGTGACTATAATGCCCAAGTTTCTGCATGGAGTTTACCTATCCAAATGAAAACCAACAGTAGAAACTTATTCTACTTATTATTAGACAAATTACCAATGAGAACACTTTCATTTTCCAAAGACATGCAGGAAAGTAATAAGTTATTAGTAAATTGCATTCCAAAGACATGAGGTATACAAGCTTGTAAATTGCATTGTGTAAACAACTTAAGTTATCCAAAACCATCTGTAATGCCAAACTTGTATACCACGTTTTTGGATTATGTAAACACAAGCAACTTGTTAACTTGCGACTAAGAGTCTGTCTACAACTATTTGTAAGTTGATACCTCAATTAGATAGTGAATAAAGGTTCAATTGTCTATTTTACTGGGTGAGGTTTGAAGATGCCATCATGTCCAACGGGCCCCATTGGCGTTACATAATTAAGACCTAATAATTCAAGTTTCTTGGAATTTTTTATATTGTACACTGCCAATGGAACTTCCATTAATCAAGAGTTTAACCTGAACATGACCAGTATCTGCCCACGAAGCACATATATGGGGGTTTTGTGGCATTGCACGTATTCTGTTAACACATCCTTCGTGGAAAACCTTGCGTAGCTGTAGATTCATCAAGAAAGAAAAAGATGAAGTGAAAATAGAATAACTCAGAGAAACTGGATACAGCTAAAAAATCTCATATATAAAAATAAAACTGTACCTGCAAAACAGGTGTCCCAGATATGCCATCCTTCTCTTCATCATCATCGTCGCTGTCACTGCTATCACTCTCCATGTCAGAGCCATCAGTATTTGCATTTTTCGGCACTAAGTCACGTCTCTTTCCTGAAATGTTTGATAGTTTAAATATTCCAATGGAGTTCCACGAAGCTTTCTCTGCCTGCAGAATGAAAATTGTAAAATTGATTAATAACAACACGTTAAAAAAAAATACAATGACAAAATTAAACACAAAATTTATTGATGATATATGTATATGTCTGTTCCCTGTAGGTGCTTCCAATGAAACTTTACTTAACAGACAAAATCAAAGAGGCTTTTATCTGCAAGTTACAAAGACAAATCTTGCAAATGGCAAAACAAGGAAGTATAATTGTCAAACATAATCAGCCATCTTCTTCTTGGAAATGCATTAATCAAATACCAAGAGTTTTCCATTTCATTTGGTCAACGTAAAATTTTACACAATAAAGAAAAAAGGCTCAAATCATTCACATATAGGTAAAGATCAGCACTCACTTGTGTTCCTGAAACACAGTATACAGTATGGGGAAACTCAGTTCGCACCAACCCGAGCGAATCACGCAGTACATCAAAGCTGCCCAAATCCAAATAGAAGATCAATTACATAAACTCTCCAGCCAAAAACAAAAAAGGATAAAATTCACCAAGGACCCTGATAATAACCAAATCACAGGTATAGGCGTGTTGCAGCAAAGTAGTAAAGTTATGCATAAGAATATTCAGAGATATATTCCCTTGAACCTACTTTTTGCAATAAATATGTCAAATCCAGCCAGAGAATTATGATAAAATTCGAAGGCAAGAAGCTGTGTTGGTACACAGTAATTGACAACACTGAACTTGAATAGACACACTAGCTTCTTCTTCTTGGTTGAATAGTGAAAAGAAACAGGCATGAGCATGTAGTTTTAACACATACATATGGCCCACAGAAAATGGAAAGGAACACTAACCTCAAGCAGGGCCAGCCAATGTTAATGGCATGGAGAGAATTGTAAGCAGAAGGGTCGCACTGCAGCTCCTCTCCTTCCTCCAGCTTGTCCACACCCGGTTGCCATACCTTCGCCGGCATTGATGGCATGGCATCTGACGACGACCCTTCGCCTTTTTTTGACACCTATTTATTTTATCCAAAGAAAGAAAAGCGGTTCAATCAAGCAACTTGAATTGTAAAAAAAAATAAAAAATCAGAAAACAAATTCAGCAAAATAGAAAAGAATAAATTTTTACCTTGTTTTTGCGTTTTGCCTTTTTAGGGTTCTTTAAGCTTCGCACCATGTTTGTAATGTGAGTTTGGGTGGAGAATTATGAAAACTAAAGGAAGATTTTCTCGATTGAGTTTTATGAGCACTGATTAGGGTTTATCGAAACAGCTGATATATTTTCGGTGGAGAAGAAAGAAATTATACGGCCATAATCCAATTGAAGCCCAATTCTGAAAGAACAAGATCCAAAAGTATATTTATAGGCCCAATTGGAAATTTGAACTCTAGTTTAAGATCCATGATCTAGAGGAAAATCTCATGTCCATCCAAAAATAAAAATAATGGAAAATTACATAAAATCAGGCATTTCAAAATTACAATTCAAAAATCAAATAATAAGTTTGTTTAATCACAAATCAGGTACCCATCTTATCCATTCAAATTTCAAACCCTAAAATTTTCAATTGAGAATCACCACACTATCTCCTCAAAAAATTTTTTTTTTTAATTTTTAATTTTTTTTTGAAACTTTGAGAATCACCACACCACCTCCTCAAAAAAAAAAAAAAAGTTGTTTCCCGCGTTTTCAATTTTTTCAAGTTTTACACTGAAAACGCCCAAAACGACAAAAAAGTCTTTTTGTGTTTTCTTCACAAATTTTTTTTCGTTTTCGAAAATTCGTTTTCAAAAACGGGAAAGAGAACACGTTTTCACCGTTTTGAAAAATCGAAAACAGAAAACGGCCCGAAAACGGTAAAGAGAACAGGGCCTAAGATTTTCATTTTCACTCCATCTTCTCTCCTCACTCTCTCCACGCCTCGGCACTGCCGCCCATTACCGGAGACCACAGTGATTGCTTCCCCAATCCCGTCTCACTCTTCTCTCTCTCTCTCTAAACACACGCAGTCACGTATCTTCTATTCTTCCTAATTTCTCTTCTCTCAACAGTAGCAGCTGTATGAGCTACAGATCTGCTCACTTACTTCTTTTTTTTAAACTTTTGAGTGGTGGTGATTGATGGTTTGGTAGTGGATGTGTACGGTGCGGTGGTGGTGTCAGGTGTGTGGTGCGGCAATGATATGCTATGGTGTCACAGTGGTGGTGCAGTGGTGGTATGATGCTATGGTGCGGTGGAGGTAGAGGTGTAGGTGTACGATCGGTGGGTGTGATGGTGGATTGCTGTTGCCAGTGTGAATGGTGTTGACTGATTTTCGTGTTGTGACACGGACGGCTCTGGCAGTGGTGTTCAATGGTGGTGTGGTAGTTAGGGTAGATGACGCTGGTGGTGGTTTAACGACCAATGTTGCTGTGAACAGCGATAGTCGTGGTGGTGTTGTATAGGGTGATAGTTTTTATTGGTATAAATGGTGGTGGTGGAGATGGTGAAGTGGTGATGACGTCGCAATGATGGCTTTTGTAGGGTGTTGATGGTTTTGTATCTGTTTTGTTTGTGGGGAGGTAGTATTAGTTGCGGTGTCTAAGATGACAAGGCTGTTAGAGATGGTGGTGGTGGCAGCGACGATTTTGACGGCGATGTGGTTGGTGGTAGTGGTAAGATGGTGGTCATAAGTGTTGGCGGTGGTCACAGATGATTTGATTGTCTGTAACCAAAAAATTGACGTATGTGACCAACCATTTAGTTATCCGTGACCATCTATTTAGTGTAACCTAAAAATTTAATAATCTGTAACCAAGTAATTTGTGACCTCGAAATAATCTGTGATCTCGAAATAATTTGTGACCAGTTAATTTGATGATATGTGATCAGTAAATAAATTCGTAACCTATAATCGTGAATCTGTGACCATTTATCGTGTAACTGTGACTTTATTATATTTAAATAATAAATATTTTCAATTAATTATATAGATGCCTGAATTTTGATTTTTTAAACTATGTACTTGATTTGTGAATTGGCGTAAATAATACACCGGAATTATGATTTTTTTCCCTAACAATAAGATCAGGCCCATTTGCACCATTGTCCATAAAAAAAAATTTGGAAAAAATATATAATTACCAACCTTAAAGATATACTCTCAAATTTGATAAACTTGTGAAATTCTTTCAAAAATCAGGTAGCATTAATTAAATGATAAAAACAAGTTTTATTAATTAAATAGATTAAGGTCACAATAACATATAATTTATGATCACATTTACGTACTAGTCATAATCACAGTCATAAATGACAAATTTTATAAATCACAACTTATTTTTATTGGTACTATTTATCAAAATAATTGATTACGATTTTATTTATTGATCACAAATCATAAATGCATAGGTCACAACTTATTTATCAATCTTAAATTATCAAATTAATTGATCATGAGTTATTTATGGGTCACAATTTTTCAAATTAATTTATCACAACTTATATTTCGATCATAAAATATTAAATTAATTAATCATAACTTATTTCTCGATCACTTGGCGATATGAAAATTTAATTTATAGAAAATTAAAATAAAATGACGAATTATAAACATAAAAAACTTCATATTATTTCTAACGATGTTTTTATGGATGAGTGATTAAATATTCAATTTGCTTCCTTCGAGATGAGGATTAATTCTTGATCTATCTTATTCGAATCATTATTTTTCTACTTTTCTTTGGAAATTTTGTACAGATAGTTCTTAACATTTAACAACTCCAGAAACTCATCCCTAACCTCTGAAACAGGACATTTCAATCCCTAGTCTTATGTTCTTTTTGAAACATTACATTCGTTTTACATAACTCCATCAACTTCACCATTAATTTTTTTTTTTTTTTGTATAGGTTGTTACTTTTAAAGTAGTACAACATTATAATTAATATTTCAAAACAATATTATTTGCTCCTAAAGAGCTCATTATTATTGTTATTTTGGAACAAAATAGGATTCAGACATTTAAATATTCTAGAAGAATATTGCAAAATTGTTTGAATCAATATTCTTGAAATATATTGTGTTGCTCTGAAATAAGCACAATTTTATATTTATTAATATTTTTGAAGAATATTATGTGGTTATTTCTTAAAAATCACAATATATATATATATATATATATATATATATATATATTGTGATATATTAATACTGTATTGATTCTGGAAAATTGTAGTTTTAATTAAATTGCTTCTAAAGAAACAATAGCTTATTTATATTAATATTCCTGAAAAATATTATTTTGTGATTCCAGAAGAGCCAATATTGTATGATATGAAAGGATAAACTTATTATTACTAGTAATTTGTTATCCGCCAAAAAAAGAGAAACATACATAGTTTTTAATTGTATTTCTTAATTGGTTCATTACATTAAACTTTAGTTACTATTTTGATAAATATTGTATTGAACTAAAAGTTCAGTAACTCTTATATGTTATTGTTTGACATGTCAAGTCGGACCATTATTGAATCAATAATTATGTGAAATTAAAAATTCAAATAGATATTCAATATAGAAACAGATATTGCTATTCAAAATATGAGCATAATCTTTAGATTATACAATAAGATTGTGTGTCTTGTTAATCCTAGTGAACCTAAATCTCAACTTTTTAATAAGTATTATTTGAGATGTCGATAAATGTATCACTATTATTTGTTAAACGCTTTCAATTAATTTAATTAAGAACATGTTATTTCTCATTTTTGTTTAAGGAATGCTATTACACATTATGACAATATCATAGTTTTCTCTGTTATAATTGGCTTATGATCAAAGCTTCATTTTTTCATTTAATTATTTTGATAGTACAATATATATAAAATTGATCCACCACAATACACTAAGATGAAAAATATAGAATGTTGAAAATAAATGCGTTGCTTAAATCCTTATGCAATATCTCACACAACTAGTTAAATTTATGACATGCTTAAAGCGTGATGATATTCAATTTTAATACAAAAATCTCCAAATGAAAATAGAGCAATTAACAAAGACGATCCCATTAGAGAGTCATATACTCTTGATGAGTATTTAAACATAACAAATTTTAAAACTCCAGAAGAGGTTCAAATACTTGATATTGAAAATTGAGATATCTTCATAAGTTGTGTCTCTATAGAAAATAATTGAATAAAAAAAAAGAAAAGATAGTCGACAACATGTTTGAATATGATGTACCGCATCATATATAAATAGCAAAGAATCAAAATGAATTCGTTGAAGTATATCGATTAAAAAATAATTGGCCAAACAAATGGGGGTAATTCTAGCAAATTGAATTATTAGATAAACCTAAAATTTTTGGATCTACAATTCAAATATCTAAAGGAATACTACTTATGCAAAATGAAAATAGAAGAAGTAAAGTTACAGTATGAAATGTATAACTCTTTAGTTAATGAATTTCGTGAAGATTTGTGTAAATAGATAAATTATCATGTCGTGGATGTAATCACAGGTTTCTATTTTATCAATCTAATAATGTTTGAAATTTGATATTCATAAATAAATTTGCTTATAGCCTACTCATCTAGCATGGCAATTAATATTACCTTCAAAAATTTAAATGCTTGAAGCATAATTCAAGTGATATTATTATGGAGGGATTAAATGCGCATTGTACTCTTTTTCTCTTGACCAAGATTATGTCCAATTAAATTTTCCTGACAAGATTTTTAATGAAACAACTTTTATGACATACTCAAAAGAATAAATGTACTCTTTTTCTTTCATTAGAATGTTTCATGTAGATTTTTCCTAATAAGATTTTAATGAAATATATTCTTTGTATAATAAATATCAATAACATACAAGATATTTTATCCTCAAAATAATACTATGATATGTAAGACTACTAAAGAGATCAATGAGAGCTATTTTTTGAATCATTATGTTACTATCATCATCAAGTTTTGTCTCATCAAATCTTCCAAAAAAACATTAACTCACAAGATATCAATATTGAATATATTAACATACATGACAAGTATCACATGATATAAGAATTGAATCAGGGGATAGCTATACTCTTTTCTTTCGATCAAGTTTTGTCCTACAATGATGCAACGAAAGAAAGAAATTCAAGCGAAAACCTTGAAATCACGAAATTTAGAATCCAAAGAGAAAATAAACTTCACAAATTTTATAATGAATAATAATGAAAAAAACGAACTAACCCGTTATTTATAAGGGTTTACATAGAAGCGTAGTTTAAAACAATTAAAAGTAATGAAAACAAAGTTTAAACAA